TCACCTTAGATAAGTTACAGGAGGTGCCTCCTTATGCCTTTTTGGGGCATACGATTTTGGCCGGTGTACGCCCTATGGCCCCTGCCTTTAATTTGAAGCTGGTCTATACACTACCCGATTTTCAACAACTCTGTGGCACCATAAATTGACTTAAATAGTTCTTACCCATTCCCTCAAAGGAATTGACGGCACTGTTTTGTCTTTTGGAGGGCCCCACCTGCCCTTCAGCAAAGATTAACTTAACTCCCCTGGCCATTGCCCTATTGCAAAAGACCATTGAATTACTCTCATCAACAACCCTTGACAGATATGAGCCCTTACAATCCCTACAGGCTTTAGTGCTATTGACTTTTTCTGGCTTCCTTGGTGCCCTTTGGCAGACTGGGCCACTTATCTGGGTCCATCTCTCATACTTGGAGCTCCAGCAGGTTTCCTCCAAGTTTGATCTGGCCTTTACCTTGGCAGTCAAACTGCACACTCAAGCTCGAAAAACCTTCAATAGAGAACCCGACGCTATTGTACTCCCCTTTCCCCTCTGTAACCTACAGGCCCTTTTGGCTGATTCCATAAGCTTTCAGACTATGATATCAGGCTTCCCTGGCACCACTGACAAACACCTGCCCCAAGACAAAAGAATTCAGGCCCTTCTCACATTGCCGCTTGAAGTTAAGCCCCACAGCACTCCTTCTTCTTCCCCAATTCCCCAAGTGACCACTGCCTTTTCGGATGCTAAGAACTTTGGGGTCCTGATACAATGTCCTGGGAAAAAGGACATCACCCACATCGTCCCTAATCCTGGCTCTGTCCAGTTGGGAGAACTTCTTGCTATACCTAAAGCTTTAGCAGAGTGCCAGGACAAACCCCGAAATCATCTTATAGTGCCTATTCTGTTCAGGTCACTAAGGTCATCACCTTTGCTCATGTTAAAAACTCCTCCACCCCACTCCACCTCACTATGGTCAAGCTACAGGAATGCCTAGAAAATAGAACTCACCCATGGTACATCTCACATATCCGCTCACATACCGCCCTTCCCAAATCCTAGCTCAGGGGAATGCCGCCACAGATGCCCTGATCATGACAGTCCAGTCTAACCTGTTAGAACAAGCAAGAGCTTTACATCAACAATTCCACCTGTCCCCTCAGAGTATTCATAAACTCCTCCCAGAAACCCCCGTATCCCAATGCAAGCACCTTGCCTGCTCATGTGCTACCTGTGCCCTGCTCATGCCTCTTGGGCCCCTTAACAGGGGAGGAGTGAACACCCATGGTTTGATACCCAATGCCATTTGGCAGATGGACGTGACTTACTACCCTCCTTTTGGGAAATTGAGATTCTTTCATGTTATAGTTGACACATGCTCCTCCCTTACTTATGCTTTAGCTCTCTCAGGGGAGAAGACTATACATGCCATTAAAGCTATAAAGTCTGCCATGTTAATCATGGGTGTACCCTGGGTGCTTAAGACTGATAATGAATCTGCTTATTCCTCTCAAGAATTCAATAAATTTGTTTCCTCCTGGGGAATCAAACTTACCTTTGGTATTACCTGTAACCCACAAGAACAAGCCATTGTCAAAAGGACCAACAGGACACTTAAGTCCCTCCTGGCTAAAAGTCCCTTGGCTGAGGCCAAATGTGACCCCCATTTTGCTCTTACTGAGGCTTTGTTCCACCTTAATTTCCTCATGTTTGATGACTGGGGTCTCAGTCCAGCATACAAACATTGGTCCTCCTTGCCTCAGGCTATGCCTCTGCCACTAGTTAGATGGAGGGATCCTATTTCATCCCTATGGCTGGAACCAGCCTCTGTCCTGACATGAGGACAAGAATACGCTTGTAATTTTCCACAGGATGCTATGGCCCTCATCTGGATTCCATTGAGAGACATCTAACCAGCTACGGAAACCCATCTGGAGACCGGGCCCAACTGCGAGTTTGATAAGCCGTGACATCCTTTTCCGGCTTTGTTATCTTTGTCACCCCTTTGTCCTTTGGCTGTGCTTCTCCCCAGGCTTCAGATCTCTGGACTTTGGTCCCCTTACCACCTCTGATCCTCCCTGTAGATGAACAGTCACCCACTTTCCCAGTTCTCTTTAGCACTAATGAATCCCTCGGTGTCCCCACCATGGAATTGATTCATGTGTCCATTCCCATAAATGGCATGTGGTCCCTTGCAGGATCCCTCTGCTTCATCCCAGTCCTTAACCCCTCCTCCCCTAATGTCTCTGACTGTCACTCCCTCTTTAACATAACAGGCGACTTTCATGGAAACCGGAGCCAGGGCTCCTTATGGGGCCTCAAAATCTGGTTTCCCTTAGTAAAAGACACTTCTGAGACTACAGTGTCCTTCATGCCCCCTGGGGCCACCCCCCAAGGGTCAGGCATCCTCCATGGACCCAGTGCCCTCCCACCCATAAACTTCCCAGCACATTGCACTTTCCTATTCCATGGGAACATTGCCTCCCACTCACTCCTGGAAGTATGCTCCTCTTTACTATGGATTATGATTACCATCCACAGGCTTCCTCCCTGGCAGCCTGGAGATACCTTGTCTCTACAAAACCTTACTCCTATGTCTACCCTGAACCCAGGCTAAAGACACTGGCCGGGGGGCCTGGGAGCTCTGCGGGCCGGCGGCTTGCCTGGATTTGCGTCCTCTCTTTTTTGTATTAGGTGGAGCCATCTTTAATGGTACATATACGGGTGGATGATAACTCAGAGACAGGTTCCTTGGGTGTCACAGACCCAACTTGGACACCTAAGGAAGTCTCTGTTAACATCTCCCATTCGATCTCCTCGCCTGTGTTCGACCACTGTTTGCTCTGCTCATTGCTAATTTCTCGGACGACTCGGGGCATACCCTTAACTGCTCCCTCGTTAACTGCACTCTCTCGGTATGCTGTATTTTCCCTGCCTCTCTTGTTCTCTTTGTGTGCAAACCCGCGGCACTCTGGGTTCCCGTTCCTAATGCCACTCATTTCCATGCTGTCACCCTCATGGAATAGATGGCTATCCAGCCCTTCCCCCGAGTCAAGAGAGATTTTGGTATTACCACAACAATTGTCACTGCCATTATCCTTTCCTTAGGGCCTGCCACCACTGCTGCTGTTGCTATCACCCAATCTTCCACTACTGTGGAAATACTCAATGAGGTCGTATCCAAAATCTCTGTGGCCTTACACACTCAATCTCTTATTAATCAACACCTCTTCCAGGCCATTTCTGTCATCCAACAACAGGTAGACCTCCTCGGAGAGGAGCTGGTGATTGTCAAACAGATGATGTTAATGGCCTGTGACCCATGGTTCAAAGCCCTGTGTCTCACGCCTTACAAAGTGTGAGGGCCAAGATGGAACTCTCACAGTATATCCATGGCCACTGGAGCCAAAAGTTTCTCAACTACTCTACCTTGCTCACTGACCAGATCATCCATTATACATGGGCTCAGACATTAGATATAAACTCTGGGTTCCTCAACAAACTTTGGTTGAATTTAAAAGCTTTGTTTGACCCTTCATGGATCGTTACTTAGTTACTCTTGGGTATCATAGTCTTAATTCTTTTCTTGCTCATAAAATGCTTTGTTCTACACTTCTGCAGACAAAACCAAGTAAATTACTAGGTGTATCAGGTTCTCAAGACGCTCGAGGATCCAGACTTCGACAACCCCCCGCCGCCAGGTCCTGCAGGTCTGGCTTGCTGATATCTGAGAAGCGGTTGTGTAACTTCTTGCCCTCCTCCTCCCTCACATGGTCATGCCAGAGATCACACCCTTCGAGGACTGGTAGCCAATGACAGGTAAGATCCTGATGGTCAGGACAACTTAAGACAGGCACAGTCCATCAAGCTGGGTGCCCTCAGAGGTGAGCTCAATTATGTCAAGGCAAAGAACCTCAGCTCCCACTGACCTTTCTATAATAAAAAGGGATAGATATATAGGAGGTGAAGTGCCAGCCCTAAGCACAGGCCACACTAGGGAGCACAGCTTCTGCCTTGAAAGCACAGCCTGTGCTTCCGCAAAAGAGCCAACCTATAATCTGCCCTGGACCTAGAGACTGATGATGCGATTGGCTTGGATGAGGGTATCTATCAGGGAACGACACACCAGCTTATGGGACACTGGGGGCAGGGGGAGAGATATATAAGGCCTGCCTTTTCCAGCAATAAACAAGTCTGTAGCACCTCGCCTAGTGCCTGCTTCCACCCGACTCCCAGTGTCTGTGTGTTGACTGCACCACTCACCCCCACCTCGGCCAGAACCTCGTTCCCCACAGTCCCTCGTGGGCTGGACCCACAAGGAAACCTGCAACACTCAGGAAGACGAGAAATTACTTCAAGCAACAGAGGAGTTTCAAGCTTACAAACAAGTTTTTATTTAACTTCCTATACAAATTAACTGTATTATAGTTACTTCTATATCTGGAGAAAGCCCATCCTCTATATAAGTTACCATATTAATAACTTAGCAACCATTATTCTCTATACTCTCTACAAACCCTCAAATAGTTATGGGTTATGGTATTCACTTAAAAATGGTGTGCTTGATGGCAGTAAACATAGGTAGTTATTTTGGTATAGGAGAAATTGCATGAGTTCTCAAGTTAGAGGCCTTAGTTGAAATCCTAACAGTCTTACTGAGAATACATAATGAAAATGTGTTATGTAGGGCATTTTGCAAGTTCAGAGTATCTTTGCTGTTAATTTGTCAACACTTAATGTAACACCAGGGACACAGTAAGCACTCAGTGATTTTTCATTGAAGGAATGAACAAAGGATTATTATCATCTTTGGTACCTTAAGACTTCTCCAAAGAGGGAAATTCTCATGTCAATAAAATAGTTTTAATCAATACTTTCATCATTACTGATCTTCATATATCTTAAATACTATGAAATATGATAAACTGGAAATATATTGAAATTTTAAAACATTATTGGCAATAGCACTGATTGATTATACAGTGCTGACAGCACTGATGGGCTGTGCAATACTTACCGCAGTTGCCTGTGGGTTGTTGGGGTAGACATTAAGGAGCTCCTGAGGAGGGTTTAAAGGTTTGAGGTACCGTGTAATAAACACTGTTTTCCCACTTAGGTCAATTACTGTTGTAAGGCAGTGACGACATGGAAACTTTAAGTTACATTCAGCTTGAAACTTCTCTGCTGCTTGAAGTAATTTCTCATCTTCCTGAGAATCAAACTTCAAAAAGAAATACTCCATGGAGGTTATATGATTACAGGTGGCAAATAGAACATGTTCAGACTCCACAGTCAGTGTGAACTGAATGTTTGGTTTGTGAAATGTCCTTATGAGATCTCTTATAAAGCCATTTGTTTTTGGTATCTCACACAGCTTTGTTTAATTGTATTGATAATTTAAGACCTAGAATGATCATCAAGCACTAAATTTACATTCAACAAACACTGAAAGAAGGTGGTGAATTGGTAAGCAGCCATACAAAAACTATCGGCTAATTTAAAAATCTACAAAAATTAAACAATAAGATATTAATTCCAACTGATAAGCCCATGCAGTAACATTTTCTATGTATTTTGGTGTATTTTAAAGGGGAATTGGGCCCAGAAATTCAGCATCTTAGGTGTGAACTATGTCACAGATTCCTAGAGAAGAATTGTCAAATCAGAAATGATTATAATTTTAGAAAGAATAGAACATTATGAAGCAGTGATGATATGGAAAAATGATTTGTTGAATTCGTACTTATTCCCTTTAAGTTTATTCATGTCTTCATTCTCTAATCATTAGAAAAATGTTTCCCAGAGTCTAAAAGATTCCAGACATTACAGATAAAGGAGTAAGAAGTGGTCCCTGCAGGGAACTTCTAGTCTGGTGGGGAACATGTATAAGCAACCAAACACTCAAATAATTTGAGCAAATGCTACAGGGATCAGCACAGGGTGTTCCAGGGAGCTCTAAGAGGGGCCTAAGAGCAGCACAAGGGCACTGTCCAGGAACAAGAGAAACCGAAGTCAGTACAACTGTTGGCCTTTCAAGTTGACACTACTTGGACTTGAATGTTCTGTTGTGTGTCTTGACCAGTGCATCTTGAAGGCAAGGCCTGTGTTTGAACATGTTCTTCCTACACCTGGCACCTAATATGCACATTCTGGGCACCTAGTAAATATCAGAGGCCATTAATACTCATTTAGGACACCAGGATGCCATTTCAAGGAATAAACAGGAATTTAGTGAGAAATACGATGTTTGTGTTCTAAGAAGTACCTTGGAAAGGCTAAATAATAAAAGAATTCATGGTGTTTATTCTAAAATAAATTTAGATGGAACCGGCAAATTCAGATTGACTCAATATTCAATTTGGAAGATTCTTAGTTCTTTGACCTATAGCTTAATGAAACATTTACAGAAGATGGAATTACTACCCTGTGACAACCCCTGCTGACCAGAAATAATTGTTAGAGCTACACTGTCTTTGTTAGAAGTAGTTGTGGACTCCATGGATTTGAAAAGTGAAGGTTAGCTCCTAATGTGTAGGTGACATTTAGACTGAAAAACTGGATCTGGTGTCAGTGAAGACTCTCACTGGCAGAATGAAATGGACAAATAGGCTGAGAGGTATTCTCTTGTCTTTTCTTATATACTAGGATAGAAAGCAGGATCTCACACATGCTGAACACACACTCCACCACTGAGTTACCCCACCAGCACAAGCTGCATAGTCTTCGTGCATGGCAGGCATCTATAGTTGCTTGCAAGGATATTGTACATGTGTTAGGGCCTAGCACCTGTCCACTGGAGGCAGTAGACAAAAGCAGCTACTTAGGGCTTAATAACTGCTGACTAATTGATTAGAAGACAAGATTCTTGGTACCTTCTTAAGCATGTCAGTCGTCTAGCATAGGGAACAATGAAAAAGAGAAATGACAGGAAGGCTTTATTAACAGTCTGTTTTTAAAAACTTAAAAAATCCAAACAATATAAAGTCAGATGTTAAAGTAACTATTTCAGAAGATGCAACTGGCTTGTAAAACTTTTCTACCACTAAATACCTTAAAAAAAATTATTTGGAGGCCCAGCATGGTGACAACCTTGGGAGACAGAGGCAGGCAGATCTCTGTGAGTTTGAGGCCAGCCTGGGCTACATAGTGAGTTCCAGGCCAGCCAGAGCTAGACAGTAAGACCTTCTCTCAATCAGTCAATTGGCCAGTCAATTGATCAATTAATCAATCAATCAACCAACCAACCAATCAATCAATCAATCAATCAACCAACCAGTCAATCAATCAATCAATCATTTTGAATAGAATGGAGGTAGAGAGACAGTTCTAATCTGTTGTCCTGGAAACTGCTGTTAGTAGAAAGTCTGCTCTAGGCGTTGGTCCCTATCATTTCAGAGTAGAGCTTCTCTTTCTTGAATGATCTGTGAGGGAATCATGAAGTGGGATTTTCTGCCACTGCCTTTGTAGGATATTAGGGTCCTGTTAATCAATTTGCCTTCCTTGTCAAACAGCCAAAGAATAAGCCTTCCTTTCAGCGGTCCACAGGAAATGCTGCATATAGCCAGAGAGAGACAGTGAAATGTTAGCAAAGGCCAGCAGCTGGCTGCCTGGTTAACAGCTTCAGGGAAGGAAGGCTGTAGGACTGAGGGTTGAGTTTCAATCCTGGAGGCCTCTCCAGAATCCTGCAGAAGGAGGTAAGTCTGGGTATGGAGGCCTAGTGCCCAGGAGACTTCAGCTCTCATCCTTCCTGCCAGTCAGGGTCACAGACTGTTCTCACAGATTTCAGAAGCTCGAGGAAATAGCAATCATTTGCCTAAGAGTGCTTTTCTTTTTTCTTTTGTGAGTCATGGTGTCACTTTGTAGCCAGATTGACTTCCAAGTCAGGGTCCTGCCCTCAACCTGAGTGTTTCTCTCTGTGAACATGCTTGTTGATTTTTCTCTTGAGTTTGCACACAGAGGCAGACATTCAGAATCTATTTCCCTTCCTGAAAATAATCTGACATGGATTTTATTGTTTTCTTGAGAACCACCTTTAGCAAAAAAACTTAGCATCTGAGATTAGTTTGAATTTCAGTACATGTTTTTCCACTAATCCTTCCTGTCCTGCCAAGGCCTTGACAATGATATAAACCTACTATTTTTCTCTGCGAACCAAACTGTAATACTGCAAAAGAAACAGAACTGTGTTCAGTTTTTCATCTCCATCTGAGACTTTAGTTTCAATGGGAAGCAAAGGAATCGTCAAGCAAGTTACATACACAGCACAGTAACTTGAGCACTAACAACTTTCTATTTGCATGTAAGCATGGTAGAATTGCTGTCTGCTTTTCCAGGCTGCCCTATATCTAGTCCCTAGAGAATACCTCTCACATACTGGATGCTCAGTAAGACGTGAATGTATACAATACAAAGTTAGACTGGTGTTTAAGCTTTACCTCTGCCATGTCCTGCTTGTGTGGGTCTAGATAAACCTTGTCTTGTTTCCTCAGCCTGAAGTTGGAGACCCCGTGCCCAAGACATCTGTGAGCATCCAGTGTCTGACAGTGCTGGGAACAGAGTAAGGACTCCAAACATGGTAGTTCCTGTTGTTGTTACTATCGTTCACACGTGAATAAGAGGTCACAGTCTTTCCCAAATCCAATGAAGGCAGTATGCTTAAGTATGCTCACAAGTACTTTTCATTAATAAACTAGTTCCCAATGATGAAGTCTGGGAAAGAGTTGCTAACAAATGAAAGTTCTGGAAACTCTTTCTGGAGCTATTTAAGAGAACTTATTCATTCATCTTTTTTTTTTTTTTTTTCAAAACTGACTTGTGACCCCATGAGGATCATCTGACTGTGTGAACTGATTCAGTGTATAGCAAACCAAGGACTGAGGACAAAGATGGAACTCTGTCTCAGCATGCTTGCCTGTAAATGTCAAAGAGAATTTGACTTTCTAATTGGTTGTAGTTCATTTTCTCATGGAGGAGATCTTCTCAAAGCAGAACATGTTCATCTTTGTCTTGCTTTCCTAAAATTTAGATTGATGACTGATTTAACTACTGGCTCAGTGAAAGCACAAATGCACACATTGTTCTCTCACCACTGGTAAGTAGTGCTAGCTGAAAAATAACGAATGGAGCTTGCAGTAAGAGAACTTCGGTTTAAGTAGCTCAGTCAAACTTTATAAATGCTTAGCCTAGCAGGTGTTTCCTAGGTCGTTGTGTAGACTTCCAGATTGTACCCCATTACCTTTTCTCGAATCGGCTCTCCAGGAACCAGTTGAGGCTCGATGGTAATAAACAGGGTGATGTAGGAGCCTTCACTCAAGCTTCGGGCAGAATCAAAGGCTCGCTCCATGATAATGTGTCGCTCCTTACTATAGCCCAGAAGAACTGGAGGAATATCTATTTTAAATGTTCCATCAATCTGTGAAAAAATATGACTTGGTAAACACTGTGATTTTATAACAGAAGCTCAAAAAGACATGTTCATTCTTTGTTGTTTAATTAATGCCTCACAGAAGCATTAGGCTCACTCTGAGTTTGTCTCCCTAAACTCTCACCAGAAAAGGCTCTATACTTCCTACTTACTTTCTGTTTGCTAGTGCGTGTACCGTTTGTGCAAGTTACCTGGCTTCAACTCTTGGCTTCAGCTCCAGTGCTCCTGCCCTGGTTTGTTGGTCTGTTGTGAGCAGTGAGTGAGCTAAGAGATGAAAGACACTAAACAATGTCTGGTGTGTAGTCAGTGCTCAGTAAATACTGGCTGCATTCTTACCTCATCTGGATTGCCCATCTTTCCATCTCTACCTTTCAGAATTTCAACAACATGAGCTGAGTGGACAAGCTACTTTTTTTTTTTAGTTTTAAAAAATATTTTATTTATTATTTTTAGTTTATGTATATGAGTGTATTGCATGCATGTATGTAAGTGCACTCATGTTCTGCATGGCTCTCAGAGATCAGATGAGGTCAAGAGGGCATTGGATCCTCTGAAACTGGAGTTACAGATGGTTGTTAGCTGCCATGTGGATGGTGGGAATCAAACCCCAGTCCTCTAACCACTGAACAATCTCTCCAATCAGGATAAGCCACTTTTATAAAAGGACCAACTTATATGAAGTTTCAAAATGGCAGAGGTTTTTTTTTTATTAAATTTTGCAAAGTCAAAGCAGCAACAAATTTATTAAAGACCACGTATTACCACAAACGGTTCAGGGCTGGAATTTGAATTTCTTAAGTTTGCTGAGACTCTAATTTTAGTGGCATTCATGTCTCAGTAGAAATAAAGAAGTTAGAGTTCCAGTGAATATACCTTCTGGGGGTGAATTAAACAGCTATTTTTTTTCTCTTACCTCAACAAAATTCAGCCTACATCCAGCTGGAGGACGTTGGAAAAGGAGTATGGAAACAATCACAAGGGCTCAGCCATTAAAGGCTCAGCTCACAACCTCAACAACAAGACAATATCAAAACTACACTGAAACCACTGCACACACTTGCTTTGTAAAGCAGGCCCAGAAGGGAATGTGCAATGACAAGTAAAGAGTGGCTGGTATTTGAGACCCACTTGTGTTTGTTGGAGATGGCCCATCTGTGCATTTCAGAATGTTTGGCAGCTCCCAAGAGAAGTATGGTGGATGCCAGTGGCAGCCCTCATTGGTCTTGGTAACCAGAACTGACTCCAGACACTACTCAGTGTTCCTTGTGGGGCCATTTAAGAGCACAGGCTTTGGAGTCAGGCAGAACTTTTAAAATAACAAGTGTAATAAAGTCATTCTCCAAAGATATATTTAAACATACAAACAAAAAGTCAGTTTTCTCATTTTCTAGTCCTGTTCCCCGGGGATTAGCAATGCTCACATGTTATAAGTCAGTAAAAGCTGAATCACACCTGAGCTGTGAACTTTGTGATTTGAGTAAATTGGCTTTTCTTTCCTTTAAAATTCTGATAATGATGCCTGTTGTATTGTGATGCTTAATCAAGGTAGCATAAAAACGATCTACTAATGGTATGTAACATGCACCCAGTACAGTTACTATTCTTCTTGTGACTGAACCAGGATTCCCTTTGCTCCACATAGCTCTGGAGAGCCAAAGCAGGACCTAAGAACAGGGATGACAAGGACTCCACCAGGCTACCGCAGGTGCCAGCAGGCATGTCATGACAACTAATAGGGAGAGAGCAGACTGCTTCCTGAGACTGAGTACTGGGTGAGGGCTGCGAGCACATGACCAGCATGGATGTTCACCACACAGAAAAGGAAGTCCACTCATCAGGACATTCTGAGTAATTGCTTCTGAATAACCTCCAAATGAGAAATTCAACAATGTCAAACATGACAGGCAGTTTCATTCATAAGATGACCTGCTCTTTAATTTTTTCTTTCTAATAGCCATTAAAAGAGGGTTATGTAAATTGTCTTGGTAAACATCACTACAGCATCAGCTATAGCTGTAGATTGTCCCTTCGGCCTAGGGAGGATTGCAATTCTAGCTGATGATAGATGTTCAGCCAGTCAGTCTGAGCCTCAGACTGGAGATTTGGTTTTGGTTTTGCTGGAGACCCTGTGGTCCAGGCAGCATCTGCTCTGTGTGGCCATCACAATGGGTAAAGCTTCCTGTTGCCATGGAGCTAATGCTGGGACTTGAAGAGATTTCAGAATCTCTCACTGCTCAGTAGAGCTACAAAGTTAGTAAAGAATCACCAAACTCATAGACCCCTTAAGCAAAGCTGTCACCTCCAAAGAAGGGTGTCTTTGTCAAGCATGCCTGTGCTAATAACTTTCCATGGTTTGAATACTGTATGCTTTCAGAAATATTAGCAGAACACATGTGATTAAATGGCACATAAACTGCCCTGATTGTTTTCTTCATGCTTCTTTCAGGTATCCATCCATTCCACATCTGCCATTTTGACAAACATTCTTCACTTCTGTTTAAATGTTTTAAAAATTCCCAGAGTCAAGTAGTCATACATTAGCTGTTAACTCAAGGGAGCATGGGTGTTTAAAACGTTATGCAAGTGTGATGGACAAGGAAAGACTTTATGTAGTGATTTTATCTTTCCAAGTGCTTTTCAAATATATTTTCTCAGTTTTGGAGTTTAATAGTGAAAATGGATAGAATTATTTCCTATTTTCATAGTATTCTTTAGATACTTACCCTTGCTTGAAAATATATAGTACTAAATGGAATTTTCACACATCCCAACCAGTGTCTCTCAATGCGGGTATGGATTCCACTTCCTCTTTCACGGTCATCCTAAAGGAAACATGGGAAGTAATGATGTTTAAGAATTCCAGACACTCATGAAATTGTGTGTGTGTGTGTGTGTGTGTGTGTGTGTGTGTGTGTGTGTGTGTGTTTGATGTGTGATGTGTGTATGGGTGTGCTGGCCTGTGCCACACATTTGGAAGCAGAATTTGATGTTCAGATGGCTTCACAGTTGCTTCTCCACTTTATTTTCTGAGACAGGGTCTCATTGAACCCAGAGCTCCTTGCTTCAGTAGACTGGCTGCCAGAAAGCCCAGGGATTCCCCATGCCTCCATCTTCCCAGAAACAGGGTTGCAGGTGCTCACCACCAGGCCTGGCTTTTACATGGGTGCCAGGAAGCCAAACTAGGTCCTCATGATTGTGCAGCAAGCACTTCACCTGCTGAGCCTTCTCCCTAGCCCCTTGCATAACTAATCTGACAGCAGAGAAGCAGCAAGGTTTTAGCCCAAACCATGTGGGCTCAGATTCAGACACTTAGTAGTTTGTGATCCTACAAAGGCCACTTACCTTCTCTGAATACCAGTTTTCTCATCTATCAGTTGAAGGTTAACAACTTTATAGAATTACTTTGGAATTAAGTAAGACAACATGTAGAAAGCAGCTAATCTGATTCCTGGAGGAGCAAATACTCAGCAGAAAGTAAAAACAGCAGTTCTCCCTCCCTCCCTTTTGTTCGGAACTTTGTGTAGTGGGTAGAGGGTATGGAAATGAATACAGAGTTCACATATCTTTAAAACTAAAAACTTATGGGGATGGAGAGACAGCTCAGCAGTTAAAAGCACTGGCTGCTCTTACAGAGGACCTGGCTTTGGTTCCCAGCACCCATATGGCTAACCAACATGCATAACTTCCTGTGAAATTCCAGTTTCTGGGGATATGGTGCCCTCTTCTGGCCTCTGAAGGCATTGCATGCATGTATTGTGCTTACATACATTCAGGCAAAATACTCAGATACATAAAAAATTAAAATTAAATCAATAAAAAACCTGAAAGCTTACCTCTAAGACATCATACAGCACTTCATCAAAAATGTTAATATATACATCATCCTTCACTGACTGTAAGCTGGCTGTGCTATAGTCCCCATTAGGGGCCCTGTGAAATGACACATGATTGGAGACAAGGATAACAGGTAAAACAGATGCTTTGAACGCTGAGTATCATAGCTAGAAAAGTACCCAGTAGGAGCATATGCAATGCTTTCATTTCAAGTGTCTGTCTTATACAAGGATACTATTGAATAGGAGAAGCAGGCCTGTGCATTTAAAGCTACATGTGTATGTCTGAGATTGCCTTCTTATGACGGATTCCTGCCCTTTACTGTGCTTTAGGACAACCAGAAGTCACTGTACAATCTATAATGCCTTTCAAAGTAAATATTTAATTATTTTGATAGAGAAGGTAAAACCAAAATGGAGAACACAAAGGGTCAGAAGCAAATACCACAGTTATCTGGTGAAACTTTTGTTAACCATTGTACTGGTCCAAACAGTAAACTACTAAGGATGTCTTAACCTTTGTAAACTACTAAATAAACTACTAAGGATGTCTTAACCCTTCCCTGCAATATCTGTGTCTGTAAACACATTGACCATTTGACCATGCAAAGAATTTCCTGTAGTGGCTTAAATACTTGTAGATATTTGTGTTGCAAGTCATATAGGTTATAGTCTAAACCCACCCATGCAGGGTACCCATTAAGAAGTGGCATAAAAAGCCCTATAGGAGCTTATGGGTTTCTGTAACCTTAGAGCCTTAGCTCTTCAGGGTTCACTAACGTAATAAAAGACTGAGTTCCGGGGCTGGAGAGATGGCTTAGCAGTTAAGAACACTGGCTGTTCTTGCAGAAGACCCAGGTTTGAATCCTAGAACCCACACGGCAGCTAACAACTGTCCGTAACTCCAGGTCCGGACAGCCTCTTCTGTCCTCCGTGGGCATTGCATGACATGGGTGCACTTACCTACATGCAGGCAATACACTCATACACATAAAAATAATAAATAAAATATTATTAAAAAAGTGAGTTCCCCAACTCTCTGGGTGAGTGCTTAAATTAAGCTGCCTGATTTTCTATAACACTATAATACATTTAACACGCATGCTCAAATGTGACTGGGCCTCGCACTGACACGGAACTGTGGACTCTGCCAGGACTGAAAACTTCTCCTGACTTGTACTGGTGAATCTTGTATTTCACACAACTCCATGCTAAGCTGTGCAAGGAGCTGGCTCTGTGGATAGCTAGAGTTAGTTATGGACTTCCTAAGTACCTGGGCTCCCAAAAGTACCAGAAAGACCCCTGCCAGTCCTGTTATACTTGACTGGAGAAATGGTACCTGCTGCTCCTTATTTCCATATATAGGGAAAGGATAAAAATCATTTTCCAGACCATGGTTCACAGTGATCCAGCCATGCTGTGTAAGCATGTTCCTTCACGACAGAGCTAGAGACTGGGGTACCACTGAACATTTGCTTCTAAGTTTCTTGTTTGTTTTTTCTTATTTTATGTATGATATTAGCAACTGCCCCTTCTGACTTAATTCTAATCTCTGCTCTATTTCATATTTATCATGTGACTTTAAGTAAACTACCATCCCTCTAAGGGTTTTTAAATTTTGTATCCTTAAAAGTGTAGAGGGTTAGATTAGATAAGATCATTTCAGGTACTAAACTAATAAATCTTAGCGCCAAAAGAAGCCAGAGGCTGGAGGAGAGCAAGGTGTCCAAAGGAAAGCAAAGGAAGCTTTTAGGCTCTTAGAGTTTGTTCTCTACTTTGGGCAGAGCTGGCTATGGTCACAGAGACTACCGAGCTCCCATCACAACACCGGCTCTTGCTCCATTCTCCCAGCCACAATACTTTTGCCTTAGCCACTTCTCACTCAGTTCCTTACAGACGAAAGGAGTACTTGCTTACCGGAACGGAAGTTCAAGTTCTTCATTCCAGCTGGGATTTGGTCCTTCGGCTGTGGTTGTGTGGCAAATTGTCCGCTGAAAAGAGACTTCTACAAAAGGACGCACCAAAACCTAAAAAACGAGAAGACACCCTGAAACTATAATGGTTGAATTATTTTGCTCCTGACATATTCCTATATGCTTAGCATGGATAGTTCTGATTTTTGGCAAAGGAGAATAAGCTTATTAGTTTGTTTCAAATAAAATGAAATAGAAAGGAAGTCTGTCCAGAAGTTTCTAGGTAGTTCTTTTTTATATATAGTAAATAGCAGTGAAAGGAGATTTATTCAATGTAGTCACATTGGGAAGAGGGATAAAGAGATTCAGTGATTCCCTTCCATCTTCAGGGCCCTGACTTGATGGTTTAAATAGAAAGCAAGAGACACACACACTAAGCAGTTTAGGTGAGCAGTGATTCTTGCCCACCACTGTCTCAGTTCCAAATGTCTGCTGTCTGGTAAGTCTCTATTGCAAGGTCACCTAACAAATTGTAAATCTTTCTTCTGGAGACAAGTTCCTCCTCTGAGAAAAGTTTCTCTTCTTGATGCCCTTAAGGCCTCAGCCATTTCTTCTCCCAGAGTGGGGCAGGGTGTGTCTCAAGCAGCCTAAGATGATTTTGAACTCAGTACCTAGCAGAGGATGACCTTGAACCTCCTGAGTCTCTTATCTCTACCTCCCAAGTGCTGGGATTGTAAGTCTGTGCTATACCAGTTTATGAAGTGCTAGGGGACCAACTCAGGGCTTTGTACTCCCTAGTGAGAATGAAAGTTCCCAGGAAGAAAACAAAAAACTGTGTCTTCAACTGCACCTCCTGCAAGGCTGATTAACTGGTTAGCACTTCAGTGACTGTGGAATTTGGAATGTTGCAGGGTTAGAACCTGCATATTTACAGTTTATCTTGGGCTATCTTTAGCCCCTAAATAGTCACTCTTTGCCCACCTAGCTGTCAGATCTGACATCCTGTGGCTAACAGATAAAAACCTTTTGATATCTATAACTTAGCAAACCACCAGCTTCCACCAATCCAAGGACTAAGAATACAGTCAGATAGCATCTAAAGAAAAATTCTCTCCTTTTGCTATAACCCACCCTTCTGTTGTCTTCACCAATGTTTCTTTGTTCTGTTACTATAAAAACTTCACGAAGAATTTGGGATGCACTAAATCTGTGTTCCTGGGCCATGGTCACTCATACTTGACCCCAGAATAAACTACCTCTTGTTCCCTTTGAGGTGAGAGTTGTGCTTATTCATCAACACGAGGCAAGCATTTTACCAACTGAGCTACATCTCCAGCCTCTAAATGCAATTCTTAAAAACATACAGAACAAGATTCAAAACAGAAATCCAGCCTCTGGTCTCTCACCTGGCCAAGGGGGTAGTCAGCGCTGTGCCCTGGGCTATGCCCACTGGGAGAAGCACTGTGCTTTTCATTGAAAGTCCTTGAAGACCTTGATGGCTGCTGGAATTTGCTAGAAGGGAAAGTGTATGAAAAGAATCAATGACAAGGAAAGTCTGTCTACTTTCCTTAATGCTTTCTTCAAAGACATATGGCTCTGGTGAAATGGGGAGAAAGAGCATCCCCTGGAGGTTCTTAGTCTCATTTATAAAATTAAGAATGGACCCAAAAGGAAGCTTTTAGGGCAATTTTACTAGAATTTTAAGACAAATCCTCAGGGCAGGTGAGCTGGTCATCTTGGCAGCTGCCTTGAGGAGGAAAATGGTGAGGAGAAGGAAAGAGATCCATGAAGCCATGCAGGTTTAGAGCCTGCGTGGAGGTCAGTCACATGGCTGACTGGCAGCCACATGGTTGGGAGAAGGAAGCTTTAGAGAAAAAGTAAAGAAATGCAAGATGCTAATGTAATAGCCTGAGTGCCTCCATTTTGTGTAAGACATCTTGGTCCATCCCAGACCCTACCCTGGAGTTCCAGGAAGAGCTGAGGAACACATCCCTATGATCCAGGGAGGCTCCAGCAGAGGCTTATCTAGCTTTTTTGACTGTTTATCTGACTTCTGTAACTGGTTGCTTGGCCACTTACAGGAACAAACATGTGACTGTCTTTGAGTAAATCTTTACCAAGGACTTTACCTTTAAAAGTTCCCCTCCCCTCCCAGTTAGTGCTGCATTCTCTAAATTGGCTTACAGAGTGCAGTCACTGATCAGCTAAATGAATTGATTCAGAACTTTTTGAGTCTGAATGGTCTTTTCCCAGTGATCTCCAACTCCTTAACACTAAGGCAGCCCAAAGCATTAAAGAAAGCATGTTTAGGAAAAGGATATGAAGAAGGAAAGGAGAGATTATGCTTTTCTGAAGAATTCAGAGAAGCAGGCAAACTTATAGAGAACTACATGTCTGTGGCTGGTCCAGAAGCGCTGCACTGGGAGGTGGGATTCCAGGCGGGAAAAGTTCACTATCCCATTAATGCAGTAGGTATTCTGCCCATGTGTTTAGCATAAGTTAAGGTGAACCCACCTTCCTAGGGGTGGTTCTGTCACCAGGTGATTGACCAGTGAAACTGGAAAGTTGGGTCCTCCAACAGATAGGCTAGAGATTTTAGAGTCTTGACCAGTTAAACTTATGAGGCTGTTTGCTACTCTGACACTATATTAGACTCTGAGGAAGAGAAGATGAATGGGACACTTCAGCTCAAATAAAACTGGAAGGAAAATCCATAAGCAATCTCAGTACACACTGGAGGGACAGGCATGCTGTGGACACACAGAGAAAAAGATGAAAATGTCCTATTTGGTTTGATTCAAGAGAAGAGGGTGGAGATTTGAGAAGTCTTGGTGGAGCAGTCTTGATACATCTTTATTGAAACTTGTAACCTTTGGGTTAATGAAGCTTCCTTGAATTGAGTGAAGTAGTTGAATACTAAAATAGTCTATATTTATTATTTTTTTAAAAAAAGAAACATGTTCTAGTTTGCCTTCAATTACTGTGACAAAACACTCTGACCAATACCAACTTGGGAAGGAAAGGGTCCATTTGGCTTATATCTCCCTAGTCATGGCTCATCACTGAGAGAGCCCAAGGTAGGAACTCAGGGCAGGAATCCAGAGGCAGGAGTTGAAGCACAGGCCATGGAAGAACCCTGCCTGTTGGCTTGCTCACCTGACCCATTCTCAGCCTGCTTTCTTATATGATATAGGCCCATCTGTCCAGGGGTGGCACCATCCACAGTGGGCTGGGCCCTCCCACATCATTCAACAACCAAGAAAATGCCCCATAGACATGGCCAGAGGCCAGTCCAATGGAGACGATTGCTCAATAGATGTTTCCTTTAACCAGATATGTCAAGTTGACACTAAAGCTACCTAGCACACACGCTGTGTTCTTCCAAACTAAAGAAAACAGTTTTTCACCTTACAGTTGAGCTTTGAGACAACCAGGGTAGAAGGTTTATGGATGGGCAACACCATGGCACAGGTTCCAGGGATTAGTGGTCACTTAATACCAGTAGCAAAGCATGGAGAATAGTTGGTGACAATAGATGTCCTGTAAGAAGTTGAAGAATTAGTAGAGAAAAATAGGGCACAGACTGACAAGCTAGAGAGAGGGCTCAGTGGACAAGACGGCTCTACAAGCATGAGGGTCTGAATTTGAATCTCAGCACCCACTTAAAAAGGTGGGTATGACTGCCTTCTCCTGTAACCTCAGCACCGGGGGGTGGAGCCAGGAGGCTTGGTGACCACCTGCCCAGCTCCAAGTTCAGTGAGAGACCCTGTCTTAGAGGAATAGGGCAGACATCTTCCTCTGGCCTCCATACACAAGCATACAGGCACATGCATCTGCACACATGTGTGTATACACCACACTCACACACATACCTGCACACAAAATAGAAAAAATAGGGCAAAATCACAGGGTGAGAGGACAAAGGGATGGAGAAAGAAAGAAAGAAAAGAAGATGCCTAAGGCTGCTCGGCACTCTGGAATTCCATAGTGCTGGAAGACATGGGCCAAGCTGTTCATACTGTCTTTGCTTTTGTTTTCCCTCTGGTAAAATGGAGACAGTAACAGTTGTAAAGAGTTAGTCAGGTGTGGTGGTGCATATCTTTAATACCACTTGGGAGGCAGAGGCAGGTAGATGGATCTCTGTGAATTCAAGGCCAGCCTGGTCTACATAGTTCCAGACCAACTGGGACTACAGGCAGACCCTGTTGCAAAAAAAAAAAAAAAAAAAAAAAAAAGAGTTAAATGATATGATATATGTGACCATGTCCACCATGGTGTTGCACATAATGAATGGACAACAAATCCCACTTTCTTACATTACACTGATAAAGGCGTCAGCCAAAAGAGGTTTCAATTCTTAGTCCTTCTGTTTCTGTGATCTAAAGGTACAAGAAACTCAGACTCATCTACCCCGTGGTCACGTTCTTTCTGTTGCCCCCTGTATGGTAGACCATGATGGTCATAACTCATGGTAACAAGGGAGGATATGGACAGACATCTCTTAAGTTTCTGACCAGCACACTCTTGTTCTTTGACCCCCACCTCTTTGTTGCAGGTGACTAGACTATGGATCACCAGCACCAGCTTGTCTCCTAAGAAGGTGATACTTAGTGTGACCACTTCCATCACATGAGAAAAATGAAGCAAACTCAGAGGGAAGCAAGTGGGAAAGACAGTGAGGACTCAGGAAAACCACTGTAATCCTCACAGTGCACCTTTCAACAGTGTCTCTCTATATAGGGGGTTCTGTGAGATGTTCCCAGTACCCCTGCCCATCCTTGAGCTGGAGTTGACTCTGTTACTTTCAAACAATAGAGCCTGGGCATCAGCAAGAACTCCTACACCCCAATACATAAAAACTATTAGAGAAGGACCAGCTTGGCTTGGATTCTGCATGTTCCATTCTGAAGCTGTTGCAAGGGCTCTCACCTCACCATGGGCTTCCTCACAGGAATGTCATAAGCCCGGATAATGTTCACCAGCAGCTTTATGTCTCCATCAGACAGGTTTTGGGCTGTCACCTTCTTCCGACCTTTTCTCCGTGGCCTCAGTGGTCGCTTTTGTTCTGCGAGCTTGAAAAGGCTTAGGCCTAAGATGCTAATGATCACACAACAGCATTAGGACTCAGTGGAAAAGAATGGTCTAGAAAATTGTTAGATAACCTCCTAAACTCTGCTCTAGGGTCTCTCAGAGGCTCATGGAAATTCTCCTTTTAGAAAGATAGTGAAAAGACTGTAGAAATCCTTCCAAATAGGGGTGGCATGGGAGCAGGAATCCTACCTCATGCTTGGTTAAATTTTTTCACTTTCTACTCATCAGCGAAAGAAAAGCCAGGTCTGTCCCTCCTCCTCCATCTCCTGCCTTGCCCTCCAGCCAGCTCACCCACTAGCCCCTCAGGCATGCCTGTGCTCTCCACCTTGACTCCTGCTTGGGATCTGCAGCTTTCCCGTCCCTTGGGGCCAGTGATGCCACTCCTCCAGAGGGCTAGCTGCCTCTGCTGGGAGCAGTCCTGCCTTGGGCCCCTGGAGTACTATTGGCCTGCTCCATTCCCCTGACAGTGCACACAGCCTTCTTGGGCAGCTTCTGGGTGGTGTTTCTTGCTCTCTGAGTCTGGGCAGACCTGAGTATGAATCCTGTCTCCACTCTTTGACCTGTGACAAATTGTGTCACCTTTGTAAGCCTCAGTTTCATCATTTGAAAAATGAGGATACTAGTCTACTTGAGGTGGTTGAGTGGGTAAGTGAGGAGGGGGCACAGCACCCTGGCACTTGATTAGCACTCAGTGGATACCCCGAAATGGCAAGTGTTGGGATGGTGACAGTGACCTGGGATGAAAGTGGTTATGGTGGGGGAGAAGGATGAAATAGGTGGAAGGGTGCCGGGGAGGAAAAACCTTTTCTCTCTACCTTTTACTGAGATTCTATGCTTACACACACTGGCTAGGGACAAAAGCAATCATGGGCGATAAATCCATGGAGCAAATACATTCTGGCCTAGAAACTAACTAGAAAAACAGACAAACTCTGTGCTTGGAAGCTGCTAGTGACAGAGCAAAGAACCCCAGAACAAAGCCAGCTAGAGGCTGCAGTGTCGGGGTCCTCTGCTTTCATCCTGAGTAATGAGCTGGCTCAGTAGACTCTCAAGTGAGGCCTATTTGCAAGTGGCATGCACAGCTGGGGATGAGGGCTCTGCAGCTGCCAGCACCACTGGTGCCTCTCACAAGGAATCGAAGCTTTCTAGGAACAACTCAAATTTATTATCCAGGCTCTTGCACAGAACAGGTGTCATTTATAAATGTCTTCTGTATACCCAGAAAAGTGCTATGTGTGATGTTTCTGATCTTTGCAACTGTAACATTTACCCCATTTTCCAGATAGACAACGAAGTCTCTGAGAGGTGCCTTGATTTTCTGAAAGCTGCTGAATATTAGGAAGGAAGTGAGGGTTCAAACCCAGGCCACTGCCTGGAAGCCCACACTCTAGTCCTTCTGCCAGAACACCTACCCAGCCCACAGATGGGGGCCTTGGAGATGCAGCTTTGCCAGGCAGCCTGACAGAGCATATCTCCTCCCTTGCCAATGCTTCTCCCCCAAGCACCTGCTCTGTGAGACTTCTTTGTCTCCTTAGCAATCAGCCTATGATCACTACATTGACTGAGACCATTAGAAATGGAAGCATTTTAAAGTTTAAAGCCAAGAACAAACAGAAATTAAAAAAAAAAGAATGAACATACCCAGAGCCTTCAGAACTTAATGCAGAAAGTAAAGAAAGAAAAGAAAGAAAAGAAAAACAGCATGAAACGTCATCATCTGTTCTGTGACTTTCACGTTTATGAAAACATTCAGTGAGTGGCTGAATAAAGAGGGAGGTTTTGCATGGATTTATGTGGTCATTGCTCCCCTTTGGACGTGGAGCTGCAAGTGACCGTCATGGACAACACTCTGCTTCATTTCCGCTCAGCTTGACGATGGAGAGGAAGGACAGGCAGAGGAAATAGCTTTTCAGATTTATTTTATTTGTAATTATATGTATGCTCATGAATGCAGGTGCCTAGGGAGACCAAAAGAGGGTGTCTGATCCCCAGAACTGTAATTAAAGTGGTTGTGAGCTGCTTGATGTGGGTGCTCGGAACTGAACTTGGGTCCTCTGCAAGAGTAACAAGTGCTCTGAGCCACTGAATCATCTCTCCAGTTTCCAGACCTTTGGAAGACTAAGTGCTTGACCACTGAAAAGGCCATGAAGTGAATGGACGCCATAGACCCACTACTATGGGAAGTCCTTCCTTTCACCTTTTATGTACCCGCTCCTAACTGAGATCATCTGAAAATCAGTCTAATTGGTAGTCAGCAGATGCAGCCAATGCCCAACTTCCATATTAATATCCACTTTTCCTTCTAGTCCTCACCAAGCACACACCCCAGCTCTGTGGTAGAATCAGAACTTTCCCATGATCACAGAACCTCTGGGGGTGTGGTCCCATCCTCTTCCACTGTGTGGAAGGAGAGGGGAAGCGTGGCATCAGGAGACTGGGGAGCGGAGCAGATGTGTGGGAGGAATGCTGCTGCAGTTCGTGTAACTGGAATGGGAAATGGAAAGGGCTGCTGAGGTGAGTTTGGAAGAAGATGAACGTGGGATGGCTGTACTGGAATGCGATGGAGCGGCCGTAGGGTGCCTTGTTCAGCTCACACCATCATGAGGCATTAACTGGGTTTAAGTAGGTTTTTAGTATGATTTTGGGCCCAATACACACTTGTTTTTATTGTTTATTTTATAACAATAAAACTCTTATACACCTCTTTCATGTAACAGAATAAAATAAAAACGTATGCAGGAATAATAATGACTAATTATTTTTTACCTGATATTGGGAACTTCTTCTTCTACTACTAAATCAGTAAGAAGAAAATGGTGTTTTGCAATTAGAAAACGATTTATCACGGATTCTCTAACCTGGGAAAAGAAATCGGCATGGTTTAACATGTTCAGATTATTTAAACGGCAGTGCCCCTCTCTGTTTCTCTGCGTCACTGTGTCACCTCAGCGCCTCCCCTTCCCAGTTGTTATTTCTTTGCTATGGTCTTCTCTTGCTGTAATTCTCTATTTTCCCTCACTAGATTGTAAGCTCCTTAAAAAGTCCTAGAATTTGCGGCTAAAGAAATGGCTCAGCAGTTAAGACCAGTGGCTGTTCTTGCAGAAGACCCAGGTTCGAATCCTAGCACCCACATGACAGCTAACAACTGACTGTAACTGCAGTTCCAGGGGATCCGATAGCCTCGTCTGTCCTCCATGGGCATTTCACGACATGGGTGTGCTTACATACATGCAGGCAATACACCCATACACATAAAATAAAAATAATAAATTAAATTAAATTGAAAAAAAAGAATTTTAAAATAAAAATTTGTTTCTGGTCTGTTTACTGTTATATTTTTAGGAGCTGGAAAAGTTCCTCAAACAACAGATAGTAACTGCTTGTTGCTTGTTGCATTAGCAATAGAAAAACGAGGACCAGTCTTGAAGCACACACAACTCAGAACTTATTCTTAATGCCTTCCCCTTTTCAGAATGGCTGACCTGGAGCTCTACAATCAATTGGCACATATTACTTTTACGGACTAATCCACCTTCAAATTTAAATGAGGGTTCTTTAATTGGCATAAGTCATTATTTTTTGTATCTGAGCCACAGACTAGATCATCTAGATGGGAAAAAAATGCACTGTCAGGACTATCATATTTCTTATAAATGTTGTTTATTTAAGGATGGCAAATAAAGGAAAAGAGGAAAGAAAAAGGGAAAGGATAAACAAAAGATTGTTTTAACTATTCTTTAGTTTTCTAAAAAAGGGCACTTCGGCCGGGTGTGGTGGCTCATGCCTTTAATCCCAGAACTCGGGAGGCAGAGGCAGGCAGATTGTTGTGAATTCAAGGCCAGCCTCGTCTACATAGTGAGTTCAGGTCAACTGGGACTACAAGGAGACCCTGTCTCAAAAAAGACAAAAAAAAAAAAAAAAAAAAGGCAGTTCGGATACAGCCTAACAGCTCTTGGTTACTATAATGCAGTACAACATTAACTCCAAACATGCCAACACTAGGAAAAACTTGTAATCATGCCCCATTTAAGATAAGCACCAATAAAATCCAAGACACAGCTTAGTGGATGCATATACTCAAGACAGAAAGACAGGTGGTCAATCATTTATGTATAGATGTGGGAAAAGGAGTCTGGAGAGACTAAGCAGCTTTCAGGAGAGAACACAGGCACTGGAAGAGCAGACACCTCCTGTCCTAGAATGCCGCTCTTTCCCCCTGAGAAGATGGTTTTGTGTGCTTTTCCTTACCTGCTGAAGGTACTTGGCTACGGTGGCTCTGTGGGTGTCCAGGTGGTCTTTGGTCTCAATTACATTTCTGTCTCGTAACCGTTTCTCATAGTCCTAAAATTAAAAGGGCATTGTAATCTCAAGATTTTTAAAGCATTTCCTGATGCCTTTCTTGGGGTTGGGGAATCATTTACCACATGTAAATAATGGTTCCAAATGTTTCTTCCACCTTCCTCCTGACCTTTGGTTCAGAGCAGATCTTTGATACAGTATCCAGGATTCTGAGTCAGTTGGTAAAACTGCCTTACTAGGGAAGAGAGTGTTGTACGGTATTTCAAGGCTAAAATGTTCATGCTGGAAAGTAGGGACACCATAGGAGAAGCAGAAGCAGTCATAATTCAAGATGCTAAGCTCACCATGCCATGTGGTCAACCCCTGCTCAAGATCTGACTTATTAAAACCTTCCTGTTATCACATGACATCTGGCTGCAGGTGACTTGGGTTAGCTACTCAGAGGAGAGTAATCAATCCTTTTGGCTTTTATCTACTCAGGCATATTCCTCTCACTCTTGATGTGTGCGTGACCTGGGAACTACCACATTCTCCTTTGTAACCATGTCTCCATCATAACTGCATACCAAGAAGTGCTTTCTAACTCTGGTTCCATGACTTAGCACTCTCTTCAAGATTTTTGAACTTGGGACAGGAGGGCACCCCTCTCTCCATTAGCTGAAGTCAACAGATAGGAACCTGGATGATTTTGTGACCATGTGACCAAGTGGAGCCATCTGTCTGCAAATGAATAGGAAGCCACCATGCCAGAAGCCCAGACAGGATGAAGAAGTGACCTGGCAGTAGACAGGTCCAGTGTCTGGGGGGGACTTGAGGCTCAGGTGCATTCCATCTAGTGCCATGCTTTTAATGTATGTGGAGATTTCATCATCCAATAAACTGCAGTTGATGCCTGATGTAGTTTAGAAGTGGAGTTTTATCCCTTAGGATCACAAGTTCAGATGACTACCAGGAAGAACCAAATGACTAAAAATATTCTTTAGGAATAGTTTCTGTACGAAAAAGTGATTTTTCATAGTGATTTCTAGAGTCTCTCCATTGTCGTCCTCAAATACACACTTGTCTGCTTTTCACCGGCCTGCCTCATTGACACACCCCATAATTCCTCACAGGCCACCAGACCTCAGTGATCTGCTAACTGCTGAGCCTTTGATCCTTTCTTGCTCTTGTCTGGATAGATGTCTGGACTCTGGCTTCCTTCCTGCCACAGCTGTCCCAGGCAGTTCAAATCCTACCCATTTTGGTTTACCTGGAGTGCTCTGCCACAGTGCCTTGCAAGGAGCTCAGCACATAATGCATTAAAGTAAAACTGAATTCTTGACCAAAGCAGGAATAATTCACCATATTAGCTCAGAAGATGCTTTCCAATCTTAGAATTCTAATTGTAGATAATTCAACCAGTGACTCGAAATCTTGGTTACTGATAGCTTGTACATCATTATAGAGACAGAAACCATTTAAATGTCAAGTTCAAGAAAAATAAGGATGAGTTATATATAAAAGTGCTAGAGCAGAGAAACCAGCATTACTTAAAGCAGTGACAGTGAGGTACATCGATATCATCACGCCAGATGCACGGCAGAGAGTTTATGAGCCCCTTTTGGACAATTTCTTACCTGGAATACCTTTTCCATAATTTCTCGGTCATATACTGGAATTTGTTTGTAATTTCGGAATTCTGGCACCTCTTGGCTTCTAAGGTGGAGGAGCCTGAACCGTTTGGATCTATTTAATTCCTCATCTGAGACAAAGTTGAATTCCTGTTGGAGCTGTTCCAGTCGAAAGAAATCAGGAACATAGGATTCTCCACTGGTCGCAACCTACAAGAGTGAGAAAAATGCTCAGCACCAAGTGGCAGCCAGATGCTTTCAAAGAAACTAGTACTGGGCTTTGGGAATGCTGAATGGCTTATGATTGACAGATTTGAAAGATAAATTACATTAAAACATAATAGCGACAAACAAATGCTACCATATATAGTAGCTTAAGAATTACCACAAAATGTTTTTCTCCCCTCAAAAGTTCCTTCATTTTGGGTATCTATGCTTCTCTCTAGTGCTATTATGAAAATCTCAAGGGGAAAAGGGAGGGCTTTACATCAGAGTCCAGCACAAATGACCTGGAGTACATACACTGGGAGTAAGCACATACACTGGGGGTAAGATTACGCCGATAGTGTATGTAAGAGCCATGGGCGTGTCAGAGATGGAGTGCCCAGCCAGCCTCTAGGACCCAGGAAGGACAGCTCTGGACACCACAGAGAAGGTGAGTGGAGAGGCTGCACTCTCCCCATGCTCTGCTGGCAACTCTGCTTGGCTCTTTGCTACCTTCTCTCGAGCAGAGGGTGGCACTGAGCAGGAACTGTGGGTATGAAGGGGGCCCTACTGTATGCTAGGGACACTTGGCCCACAAGGAGAGACCAGTTGGAAGGCCATCCCTGTGCTTTTTCTTCCATGGAGCAAAACAGATAAAAAAGGAAAGGCTCTGTGTGATATGTGTGCTATATTATTGCTGATTTCAAAGTGGTCATTGGAACATGATTTGAAACATCCCATGGAATATGTTGCCCTGGAGGGGACTCTTCCTGGTAGGTCTGTTTTCCACACCAAGAAGCATCGTGTTGAAAGACTTATAAGGAACAATGTCAGAACAGAATAGTTCGTGCTGAGACTTAGACTAGAAGGGAAATGAAAACTGCATAGCGCTCATAACCACCCAATGCTGAACCATGGAGATGAGAGTGTGCTGGTCATTCTGCGAGGCACCGCCTTCCTTACTGTGGTTCTGTGGCAGCAAAACCCACTGTATTTGATTTCAAGAAAGATAGTTTACTAATGTTCCACTTTATAGTCACTGAAGGACAAATTTAGAATGTTCTGGTAGATATGAACAATTTATCCAGTAAGTACTTAGAGACTTCTCCTTTCCAGGAGAAATCTTAGCTTAGGTTCTAAGCTCAGAAACTATGGTAGACAAATTTCTTTTTTTTAAAATGGTCGTTTTGAATCCTGTTTTAATTAATTTATTTTTATTTTATGCATATGAGTGTTTTGCCTCTATGTACGGGAGTGCACCAATGTCATGCAATCCCCATGGAGGTTAGAAGAGGGTATTGGATGCCCTGGAACTAGAGTTACGGATGGTTGTTAGCCGCCATGTGGGTGCTGGGAATTGAACCTGGGTCCTCTGGAAGAGCAGCCAGTACTCTTAACTGCTGAGCCAA